AATATATGCAGTTATTCACTGATTGTTTTTTTCAGTGAGCCGTTTACTGAGAACCTGATCATTTAGGCAGTGAAGTGAAATGGGATCAGGGAATGAATCATTATTTTGAACAATTATGCATATTAAACTAAATGATTCTTTCACAAATTGCACTGTTTCTTTAATGAATTAGTTGTTAATGTAAAAAAAAAATGACAATAATTATTTCAGAATTTTACTGATTCTTCAATAGGTCAGTTGTTACAGTTCACAAATTGGATGGAATGATTCCCTGACAAACTGCGCTGATTCATCAATGAACCAATTGTTATGGTATACAAACTGGACAAAAGGATTCTTTTAGGAATTGCACTGATTCTTTCATGCGTCAAATTGATTCTTTCAAGAATCAAACACATGGTCACTCAATAATCTGTTCGCAGCAATTCTTGAGTAACAGCTCACCAGTAGGGAAGATTATAATTAAATAACTTAACTTTCAGGTCTGTTCTTCACGTAAAGCTATCTTTGGTTTCAGAAGACTGCAGTTGTTGAACTCTGTGTTGTTCTCCAAGATAGCTTTGTGTGAAGAACCGGACTACCGGACTAAGACCTGGACTACTTTTTACTAGTTTTATTATTATTAATATATTTTTTTAAATAATTGGAGTCATATTTGGACCTTAAAAGCAATAAACTGTGCCACTATGACATGTCATTTTATGGAATAGACCTGTGGGATCATTTTCATATTCACATTTTTTTATTCTACAGAAGAAAGTCATATAGGTTTGGAACAACATGAATGATGACAATTTTCATTTTGGGAAACTACCCCCTTTAAAAACACATGCAATAAACACTAGAACTAGACTGATCTATCTCTAGTATGATGGGAGTGATAACACGAGACACATTTTAAACTCACAGAAATATTAATGAGTTTACAAGGACCTTCCCATTATAATTATGTAGAGCAACCATGGCATCCGAGTGGGCCAGCGCTCCCTGTGGGATACATAAATGTATCAGGCTAGCAAAACTCACCTACTTTTAACAAAACAGTTTACATGCAGATACAAATAACTCCAAGCATCCTTCATTACTATCAGCCGGTGAATGGCTATGCCATCTGCAGCTTAACGACTCAAATAACTTTGTCAACCCAACGCTGACAGTTATTGTTCAAAGCACTGCCCATAACCTTTACAAAGGACACATTTTCAGGACATTCATACTCTCTAACGCAACTCTAAAAGCATTTTCTGAGGTATTTGCTAGGGGAGTGAGACACATTAACTTAGACTTTTTTTTACTAAGTGAAATATTTCTTTGCTCAATTACTGTTATGAAAACCATGGCCAATGGCTGGCACGCTAAAGTGTGAAGACGAAACGTCACCATAACCATGTTTGACAACTCCCGACTCTCAACTCATTGGACGAGCTGAACCTCAAATCCACGTAGAACTTGTGAGCTGTCTGGTGAGCAGCAGATAAGCATGTAAGAGAGACAGCAGATCTGTCTGTATCCAACCTGTCTGCTGCTCTGGAAGAGTAATTACAGGAAGGCCTGTGGTAATTAGCCCACCTCTCACTGTGTTTGTCTGTTTTTAAGGCTGACAAAAAGAAAGAAAGAAAAAAACCTGGAAGCTGACAAAGCCGCAGCCCAGGTTTACCATATGGGAGCGGATGGTTAGTGTCGAACAGCATGTTGGGTTACGTGGAACTGAGTCAAACGCGTAAGCTTAGCTACAGGGATCTCAAATCTGAAGACGCCCCTCCTGATACCACCAGTCTAACAGACAAGACAGCCACAATCTGCATCCCTCGCCGTTTGTTATCAAGGATGTTTTAAGCAGATCTCTCTAAGCAGAGCGCAATGATGAGGAAAAGGGCTAATGTGAGAGAGTTTGGGGCCAGTTTATGGAACTGTCACTTGCCAGTGCTTACGTTCCAACAATTTCTTATTTGCAGATCATGTACATGAGTTTTTATGTCTTTAATGCCAGCGAAAGTTTAGCTATCAGAGTTACGGTGAAGTAATACTGTGCAATACTGTGTACAGTATTTACTCAAGTTGTTTTTGTTAATTGACATAAATTATTACTATTGTAATAAATTACTATTTATTCAATATGTGTATGTATATATATATATATATATATATACACACACATACACATATATAAAGAGTGTCTAAAGTGTGTTTGCTTCTTTTGTCTTAGCATCATAAAAGCTGTCGAAATAAACAAGAAAACTTTGATGGCTAGTTTGAGAGGAACTCATCATAAATAGCTTGTGGACAGTTAGAGAAAGAAGAATGGCCCGTCACCATCACAAGAGGTGTCTGCTGAACTCTTAAACGTACTGACTCAGAGGAAGATAATAATAAACTCACAAGGCTTATTTCCAACAACAAAAGAACTCCGTCGAAATGAAAGACTATGACAAATCGTTGTTCTAATGTTTCCTGTGTGGGTGTGCCGTATGTGAATGTCCCTGAAGTGTCTAAAGATTTTTTCCAATGACCTCATCTAGAAAGTATATATATAGATATATATATATATAGATATATAGTAGCTCAAAATTTAACTGACAGATGCCGATAATCTCAAAAACCGCCAAATGTTGTTTTGAAAATCGGCCTGTCTGACATATTAGTCTATCACTAAAAACAATACTTATTGTTTGAGCCCTGCTATGCAAGATGTGTGTTTGCTTCTTTTGTCTTAGCATCATAAAAGCTGTCGAAATAAACAAGAAAACTTTGATGGCTAGTTTGAGAGGAACTCATCATAAATAGCTTGTGGACAGTTAGAGAAAGAAGAATGGCCCGTCACCATCACAAGAGGTGTCTGCTGAACTCTTAAACGTACTGACTCAGAGGAAGATAATAATAAACTCACAAGGCTTATTTCCAACAACAAAAGAACTCCGTCGAAATGAAAGACTATGACAAATCGTTGTTCTAATGTTTCCTGTGTGGGTGTGCCGTATGTGAATGTCCCTGTTGGCCAAGCAGCAGGGTGACTACTCCCCCTGTCTTCCCACCATCTGCCCAAGAGAGAGCTCCTCCAGCACCCCTTCCACGATCAGCACTTTTCCAGGCTGAAGCCAAGAGAACGAGACATCCAGCTAACTCTGCAGGTCCAAGCCATTGCTCACCTGCGTCAACGAGAGCCACTGAGAGTCTCACTGATGAGCAGTTAATCAAAGGAAATAAAGCCTAAATAAAGCAAATGTAAAGCAAATGTTGTGTTGCACCTTGTTTCTGTTGTTACATTATGATTATATATTCAGTGGCATAAAATGGTCTTTAATATGACAATAATATTGCTTATCGCAATTATTTCTGGGGCAATATATCGCACAACAAAAAGTTGTTATCGTGACAGGCCTATGTTGCACCTTGTTTCCGTTGTGTTTCCGTGTTGTGAAGATTTAGTTGTGTTGTGAAGATTTCGTTGTGTTGTACACTACTGGTCCACCGTACGTGTGACTTTTAGCAACAACCCCAAATATAAATGTATATATAATGTGAACATGCTATTTATACAGTACACTAAACGCAAATAACATTATTTGTAAACTGAATCAAGATCTACATTAAAACCAATATTTGCAATATGTGCAAAATTTAGACTTAAAATACACTTTGAAATTCTAAATATCAACCTAATAATCGGCCTGATCGATACCACTAGGAAAGGGCTCACAAAAGCAAACATCTCAAATCACCACTTCTCCTCATGCTTCTTCTAGTCAATCATGCCGTTCATTCTTGTATCGCCCATTATATTTACTTAAAAATGTATGTCACCATGTTTTGTACATTCCACTTGTGCCTGTGTCTTTTGCAGCTTCTCGTACATAACGTGGTGTAGTCATGAGGTGCTAGTTCAAATTTAAAAAGTGCTTCTACAAAAAAATTTAATCTGCAGATATGGCCTTGTTTAGTAATATGTGCCTTTGTGCATACGGACATCTGACTGCTAAGTAGTGATTGTGTTTCTCAGCAATAGCCGTTCATTCTTGCTCAAGTTTAGACTCAAAACCCCCATTTGCCCTTCACACACTCAAGGATGGTCAAACTCCCATTGAGCCAAGCAAGCCTAATATAAGCCATTTAGATGTTTGGAAAGGCTTACCCTATTCAGCGCTCAAAGCTCCATTAGATAAAGAGGAGCAGAGCAGGCTAATTAGAGTCTGACCGTTTGGCCATTCTAGAGCAAAGATTCATTTGCACTGGTCTTAAAATCGGCCTCTCTCTCTCTCTTTCTCTCTCCACCTAATAGAAAAATAAGCTACTTCACTCTGCATCGCTGGCAGTGACACCTGCGATGGAGGGAGTAATGGTGTTTAACGGCCTTTTACATTTTTATTCAGTCTGGGAATCATAAAAGAGGAACCAGGCAGCCACTGGATCTCTTAATAATCGCAATGCTATGGCAACCAAAAGCAAGCTCAGCCGTCAGACTTTAGGTGGCTCACAGATCCACACCTGCTCTCGGTTCTCGTGTTGGGAGAAATGTAGAGATATCGAGAACAAGGCAAGTTTCTACATTTCTGCAAGGTCACCAGTGGTGTTTTGGTGATCCTAATAATAGAAGTTTTAAAGTTTAAGTGCTGCCCGGGGGTCTTGCGTGTGTTCATTAGGAATCACGGCCTGCTTAGCCAACACAGCAAGGAATGGACATTAATAAGGCAGAGGGGAAAAAAGGAAAGGACAAAGAGGGAGGAAAATGGAGGAAGTGTGTTTATGTTTTGGAAGGCTGCAACTGTGTGTTTGCACTCCCTGGCGGGAGACACAAATCCAGATCTGATATGAGAGTTGTGGCTTTTACACATCTGAGACCTGCTGTATCACCAGACCCTATCTTTTATTTATTTACAGCAGCGCGGCGAGAGAAAGAGAGAGAATGAGAGAGATATTCTCACACTTGAAAGAATTTGACAAATCACAGTCATCCTAAACAGGATTGTAGATAAATAACGAACACAGTAGACACAAATACACACCTGGGAGATTTGATGTGGATATCGACACATTCTGTGCTTGTTTGTCCATTACATCAGTGAGTCCCAATCAGAGGTAAGTTTACACCAGCAGGTTTCACAGGGTACTTCGAAGAAAACCTACAAAAAAAAATAAAAAATACAAATTAATTGTATACTAAACAATTTGTTGTTTCAATAGATTAACTAAATCACAATATTTTCAGTTCCTTTCAATGAAAATAATGCAAAATTATGTGTACTGTAATTGAATACTGTAATATTCAAGTTTATATAAATTTATGTGGATGGCATGGCATTCATAGTAGATTGTCCTGATTTACACCCATCATTAATGTGTTTTCAAAATTCAGATCACAATCACCAAACTTCATAATTAAGTTACACTGCAAATATCAAACATATGTTTTAGTGCTGTCAAACGATTAATTGCATCCAAAATAAAAGTTAGTGTTTACATAATATATGTGTGTGTACTGTGTATATTTATTATGTATATATAAATACACACATACAGTATATTTAGAAAATATTTACATGTATATATTTATATTAATATAATTTCTATTTTATAAAAATATATTTTTACATTTTTACATTTTACATTATACATTTTTCTGAAATATATACATGCAAGTGTTTGTATATATATATATATATATATATATATATACATAATAAATATACACAGTACACACACATATATTATAAAAACGTTTATTTTGGATGTGATTAATCGCGATTAATCGTTTGACAGCACTAATATTTTTTTAATGTTCTTAAAACAAGTCATTTATGCTAACCAAGGCTATATTTATGTGATCAAAAATACAGTAAAACAGTAATATTGTAAAATATTATAATTTAAAATAACTATTTTAATATATTTTAAAATGTAATTTATTTTTGTGATTTTTTTTTTACAACATTGTGCTATAGCGATTTGTTTGCATTGTTTAATTAATAATGTCCAATTACTAATCTAATTATTTCGCCAGATTGCACATCTTCACTTCTAAACCCTATTAAATCCTTTATTGAGGGATTTGTCAAAATTATTATTTTTGATTTATTTCTGATTATTTTTCAGTTGTGACTATTGATAATATAAATGATAATGCTAACCGATTACCACTATAATTTGAGTTAACACATTTTTGTATTTAATGTGATTATTCTATTAGTCACAAAAGTGCAGTACAACATAGTGTGGCTCCCTTCGTATAACCCATCTGAGCATGTTTATATACAGTCTGCTTAATTGCACACATTTTCACCCAAAATCAGTGCAGAAAATGCTCAAAAAGGCCCTTGACATGTCAATGAGGGAACATAAATCAAAAAAGACACTACATTAGAAGCCCCGTCTTCAACGAAAATACAAAACTTTTTACAAATCTGCTCTTGCTATGAACGGTGGAATTTACAGTAGTTATGATTACATGAAGCAAGGCAAACTTGATGAAACAAATGGTATTTTTGAGACCGTCAGCAGTCTTGAAGACGCAGTCCAGGTCTAGCAGTCAATCTCAAGAGTGGTCTCCTGTCCAGCGTCAGCTGAGTGAACGCAGTGCTGTGTCGTTTAAATGTCAGTGATAGACATCAAACCCAGTTCTTTCTCAAACTCCATCTGCTTCATACAGATGTCTCAATCAAGCCAGCAGCTGCGTGGTGTCTTACTGTCAGAGAAGGCCAGGGCTACACTTATACATGCTACTGTTTAGACACAGGAAGCGTACCTGCCATACGCCACATGCTACCTGACCTGCCCGTCTGCTGCCTGTCATTCAGCCCTCGCACGGACCCTCAACACGCTAACGTGAGCCTCACACCCTCACACACACACGCATACCCAGCAAACTCCTCCTCTAACACTAGTAATGCCTTCTGTCACAAAAAAATTGCTTCAATTGTTTAGAGAAAAAGCCAGAGGCAAAGACATTTTAGTGTTATCAATTAAACACATGTACCATCAGAGACAAAATAATGGTTTGTTGTGACATATTGCAGATGGTGTTGTGCTATGTGCTTATCACGAAACAGGTGATCATTTCTATGGTTTAAGTTATGTTTAAACAAGAATCTTTGTGGCAAAACTGTTAAATATCCTGATACTACTTTCTACAAACACATTATAAATGGATATGTTTGTCTTCTTTGTGCATATAAGAGAATAGAAATAGAAGAGAATACAATAGAAGAGTGCAAAATCACGCAACACTTTCTGAAAAAAAGCACAGCAAACACAAACATCCATACAACAAAAAAATATTAATAAATTAAAATAATGTTAATCATTCACAAAAAATTGTGAATGATTAATCAGTGCATGCTATTTTAAAAAGTAATAAATAAATAATAAATACAATAAAATATTGATAAGTCTTTTGCGGCAGAAAGGTGTCATCTTTGGTATCATGCAACTCATGAGCTTAAAGTAATAGTTCAAGATTAAATAAAAAAAAAAAGTTCAATAAAAACTTTTAATTTTCAATCAAACTGTAAAAAGTACTGTAAAAAGTACTGCGAAAATGTACAAAACTTTTACTCACCTAAAAGTCAAAATACTTACGAAAATTATTCACATTTAATCGTATTTAAGCGCATTTAAAAGTTGAAAAATTATACACTTTTTAAATTGACTTTGAAAACAAGAGGCAGTAGAGATTTTCTTAAACTTTGTAAAGAAACTGTCAAATATTACGGTTACATTTACATTGTTACATTGCTATCCAAAACTCTAAGAAACCGCAGATGTTAAAGTAAAGCAAACCACATGAAACGTTTCAGCAAATGATTTGTGTTTTAACATTTGAATATAGTGATTTTTAGACTAATCACGAACCAGGTTTGCACTTGGCAGTTACTATCAAAACCAATACTATAGTTTAAAGTCTTTACCTAAAAGGGATAGTTCAACCAAAATAAACATTGTGTCATCATTTAATCACCCTCGTAAGGGAGTAAAAGGTATTGTTTTTACCTTGAGCAAAAGTATTTGGTTTTAACTTATAAAAAGTAGATTCCCCCCAAAAATACTTACAAATGTAGTGAAGTACTACTCAAATACCTTACACCTCTGCAGTTCTGTAATTGAGAGAGAAAGAGAGAGAGAGAGAGAGAGAGAGAGAGAGAGAGAGACTCCTTGACCTTCTGATGACACAATTCTTCAGTCTCTCAGGGCACGGTTGGACACTGGCTCCTTGTACATGTACACATAACAGGGCCAAACAGATGCTATTTCAGCCCAGAGGACAATACAAACACGCTGACAACATACAAATGACCTGCAATCATCTGACTGTGGGTGTACTGTATACACTGCACTGCAAGACCTGAACATATTAAAAATAGAATTTGTTATACACAACACACAAGTACAAAAAAAAAAATAATAATAATAATAATATATATATATATATAGTTATCAGTGAAATGTGGTGGCAACGTCTCCTATTTTTCTCCTATTATTTACAATGCTATAGAGGCACTGCTACCTGACCTTTTTTTCCCTTGATTTTCACCATTATGTCGCTCAAATTCACGCCATGCTATACTGTTGGACCTAAGTGAGAACATGATGAAATCAAAGGAGCCAAAAAAGACTCACCAAGACTGAATGTATTTAATTAAAAATATGTAAAAACAGTAATATTGTGAAATATTATTATAATCTAAAAATAACTTTCACATGATCCTTTAGAAATCATTCTCGTATTCTAAATTGGGTGTCACATTTCTACAACTGTACAAACTGTACACACTGACAGGGATGTAGTTTAGTTCCGTAAAGCTTGGCTTTTTTTCAGGTTGATTAAAGATCCCGTGTTGATTTCGTTCAGAGTCACACTGAATAGCGGACATAAAGCCGAGCCAGCAGCTCATCAAACGCGCCACATGATACCCACATTAAAGGTAATGTTTCTGCCACTCCATCTCGCATTGTTTTATTTTGCTCTCTGGCTTTAATGAATGTGACAGAATTACGCCGCTTTAAAACCGTCTGCTTTATTGTTCTATTTGTTTATCTATTTCTTATTTCCTCGTCTTCTCCCAGCTCTCATCTGTCATTCTTCGGTGCTTTCATTTTATTGGCCGCTCCGTAGAGCGGTACCGTTGATCGCTGCCCATTTTCGGATTAGGAGATTAAGTTATTCATCACTCACCGAGCTCCCTGCTGCGCCACTGCTATCAGGACACAGCCAAATCACAACATCTCAGCCAGCCATTTCAAAATAATTGAATGCACAATAATTTCCCTATTAATACATTTCTCATATTAGAGATTATGCATGAAACATCCACATTATCTGTGGCAGTGTTTTCCTTCTCTCTCTTTTTTTTTCCCTGTGTGCCTGTGTTAATGTCTTGCTCCTCTCCAGTAAATCTAATAGACAGGATTGAATAGCTCACGCCAGGATGAAGGGATAGGTTACAGATAGCCTCCTATTTTTTATTTATTCATTTTTTTCCTCTCCCTCCCTCTCCGTCTCTGGTGGAAGATGCAGAAGAAAATTAAAGAAAATCGATCATTTTCGAGGAGGGTGGCGAGGACGAGCTGTGACGGTTGCTACGCCAACAGTAACTCAGCCTCTCACAGCTGTCTCGTAGAACTTGTTTTGTCATTTTGCTAGATGAATTTATTTATTTTGAGATTATGCATGAAACATCCACATTATCTGTGGCAGTGTTTTCCTTCTCTCTCTTTTTTTTTCCCTGTGTGCCTGTGTTAATGTCTTGCTCCTCTCCAGTAAATCTAATAGACAGGATTGAATAGCTCACGCCAGGATGAAGGGATAGGTTACAGATAGCCTCCTCTTTTTTATTTATTCATTTTTTTCCTCTCCCTCCCTCTCCGTCTCTGGTGGAAGATGCAGAAGAAAATTAAAGAAAATCGATCATTTTCGAGGAGGGTGGCGAGGACGAGCTGTGACGGTTGCTACGCCAACAGTAACTCAGCCTCTCACAGCTGTCTCGTAGAACTTGTTGTGTCATTTTGCCGGATAAATTTATTTATTTTTTCATCTTTTAAGCATTAATTATACTAAATTCAAAATTTCACTGATTAAGTAGGAGGAATTCATTCAAGTGAAGGTGTGCTACGTCA